TTTTAACCCTTCATGTAGATGATGACGAAGGAAAATCATGGCCTTCGCTTTATCCTGATTTGATGCTTTATTTCCTTGTATAATAGTATTTCCAAGACCTTTAGCATCAAGGTGAATTTCAGCATCAAGAACCAATGATAAATAGTTCTTTCCGGTGATGTCAAGTTATTGATAAATTTGACATAATGAAAACTATCATAAAAGATGAATAAGTTAGAGAAGTAATTATAATAATAAACAATTAATGAAAACAAAACGATTAAGGTAAAAGAAATGAAAATAGAGCTATATCATGTTAACAATCTACTATTTCATTTTATTCTTGCCATAAAGTAGAAATTACATACTTGTTTCATTTCACTTTATATTATTGATATATATGTNNTGCGCACAAGTAATTTGCAAACAGTGAGCATATGATATGTACTGCCATAAATAAGATGATTACAATGATACATACCTTAAAATATGGCTCAACTTAGCGGGAGTTAAGAATAAAATTAGAGCTTCGTGCTGATAACGTGTTATAAAATAAAAGTAATGCAGTAAAATGTAAATAAGAAGAGATAGAAAGAAGGGAGAAGTGTTTTCTTCTTTCACTTTGATGTATTTTTCCATTGCAATTACATGGCCTTTTATAGGCATAAAAAGTAAAGATGATGGACATAAAGTAGGAAATTTAATCTTTTAAGTTATTCACAACATGAACATCCAATGTAGTATCCAAAGTAGTATCCAATGTACAAACTATTCATAACAGAGTTGTTATTTTTTAATGTGTAATAGTCTCTCCAGACTTTGTGTAGTAGTCTTTTGCGAGTGGAAAATTTCTCACTATAATGCTAAAATTATGTTGTTCCACTCATATATTACATTTTCCACGTTGTGTTTACTGTCGTATTCTTGTTAGTTACCGTGGATATTAATATTGTGGATATTAATGTTTCCATGTGGGACATTCTTTCCCAACAAATATACTACTCTTTTGCTACAGAGAGTCACAAACATTTCAAAGAAGAAAGGAAACCCAAAACGGAGATATGGCAAAGATTCAGAGGTGTAACTATGTTTTGTATCTCTTGGTTTTAATATTGTTGATGATGANTTGTATCTCTTGGTTTTAATACTGTTGATGATGAATATATTCTTTTTTATTAAAGAGTTGGAGTCAAAGAGCAAATGCAGCGAGCAGGAGAAGAGGAAGCTGAGTTGGAGCCAGAGAGCAGCAGAGGAAGCAGAAGCAGTAGCCTCAATTTCATGCTCAGGCCATGGAAAAGCCTATCTTGATGGCCTTGTTGTAGATGGAATTCCTACTTGTGAATGTTATACTTGTTATGCTGGACCTGATTGCTCTTTACTTATCCCCAACTGTTCTGCTAATGCTTTCGGGTAATACTGATCTCCCTTATGGTTTACGATATTACACTTACCTTTCTTATTTAGATTTCTTTGTAATAAGCATAGGCGGAGCTAGGGGTACGGAAGGAAATTCATCCGAACCCCCTTCGCAGGAAAATATACTAGGCCAAAATTATCTTTTATTGATCTATGGTATATGTTGAATCCCAGCTTTTGAGCCGAGGGTCTAATGGAAACAACCTCTCTCCCCTCATAAGATAGCGGTAAGGCCTGCGTACACATTACCCTTCCCAGACCTTACTGTCTGAGATTGCAGTCATTGCACTTGGTATGTTATTGTCGTTGTTATTGTTATGTTGAATCGCGTTGACTTCTTTGTACAATAACATCAACAACCCAGTGGGTCCGGAGTGGCTAGGATATAGGTAGACTTTTACTTTTTTTTTTTTTGTATTTTGAATCCCTCTAATAAAAATTCTGGTTTCGACCCTACCAATAGTAACAAATCTTTTTAACTCATTAATGTAGTTGGGATCCCCTATTCTATGAGCCATTCTGGATGGAAAATGCAGAAAGCAGTGCAGTAGTGATAGCAGGTTGGCATAGAATGGCTTATTCCTTTCCTGATCCAACCTCTCACCTTTCCCAGGAGCTCGAGAAAACCATAAGGAAGTTACATTCAGTTGCAAAGAACGCAATTACAGATGGAAGATACATCGCTATTGGTGTAGGCGCTAGTCGCCTACTCAATGCTGTAGTTCATTCTCTTTCCATGGAGAATTATTCTTCCTCACCTTACCCTGCAAAATTTTTCGCGAAACCTCCTCATTATCCGGTTCGTACCTTCTTCTCCATTACTGACATCCATCTATTCTATGAAAAAGTTGTACATCATCCTTGAGTTTTGAATATGGATTTAACTTGTATAATTTTTTTACTTTGGCGATGCATATAAAAGTTAAATTCTTTAAGAATTTTGGTTTTGATTTTCTCAGTTCTATAAGCTTCAAACGGACTACTTGCAAACACGACATTATGAGTTTATAGGAGATCCATCCATGTTGAACGACACTGATGTTGGTGGAGATGTGTTTGAGTTTGTGACTTCACCAAGCAATCCAGAAGGGAATTTAGAAGGTCCAGTTCTGAAAGGCGGCCCGAATGTGAAGTACATTTTTGATAGGGTCTATTATTGGCCTCAGTTCACAGCAATTCCAGCTCCTGCTGATGATGATCTCATGATTTTCTCCTTGTCTAAGCTAACTGGTCATGCTGGAACCAGACTCGGGTAATATACCAACGTTTAATCTAAATTGCTTTTCGTATGAAATTATATATTTAGTCTAAATTACTCCCTTTGTTTCAATTTAGATGAGGTAGATAGACTCGGCATGGAATTTAAGAGAAAAAAAGGGAGACTTTGAAACTTGTGGTCTTAAAAGCTTAAGGGGTAAAAGGTTTGTGGGGCCATGACATTTGTGTGGTTAGAAAAACTTCTCATTAAGAGTACGATGAGTAAAATAAAAAGTTTATAGTTGAATTATTTCCAATTATAGAAATATATCTTTCTTTTTGGAACAGATTAATAAGGAAAGTGTGTGTCTAAATTGAAACAGAGGGAGTAATAATTAATAGAATACAATAGAAGCAACATAGAATAAATTTTACAAATAATCCACATCAAGGGCGGATCCAGCCATATAGATGTGAGGAGTTCATTTGAACGCATAATTTTTTGTCTAGACCTTGATATATCTGCGTAAAATTTACTGAAATTGTTATATTTGAACTATGAACCAATAACTTGATGAATCCATAGAATTAAAATTTCAGATCCGCTGCCTCTGATCCACATGAATTTGTGTAGGTGGGCTGTTGTGAAGGACGTGAATGTGTATAATAGAATGAAGGAGTATATTCATCAGGCTGATATGGAGATGTCTAAAGATACCCTATTGAGAGCTTTAACTATTCTGAGAGTTGTTACTGAAGGAGATGGCAAGAAATTCTTCAATTTTGCACATGAAATCTTGAGGGATCGCTGGGAAAAAATTAGTCACATCTTCTCCCTTTCTAAACGTTTCAGCATTCAACATATTCCAACTCAGTATTGCACATTTCTTAACCGAGCAAGAGAACCATCTCCAGGTGATATTTCTTCTCATCTTCTTATTCGTCTACTAGTGAACTCATTTTCTGACGCTCCTTTCGTTTTATTTTATATGGTGATGATTGATTGGATATTGAACGTAAGAAAGGAATAAAAACTTTTGATATATAAACTAAATATGTACTGTAACACATTAAAAGAACTCTTTAAAAACTTTTGATATATAAACTAAATATGTACTGTAACACATTAAAAGAACTCTTTAAAAACTTTTGATACATAAACTGAATATTTACTATAACATATTAAAAGTACTCTTCAAATTTTGTGGTCTTATGACATGCCTCGAATTCCTGCTATATGGTATAAGAGAGTCTCATTAAAAGACAAATGAAAAGATAGAATTTAAATTAAAAAAAATAAATATATATAAAAGTGTCGATCTTTTTGAAACTAACAAAAAAAACTTAAACTATAAAATGGAACGGAAGAATAAAAGCAATTAAGAGCAGTAACTCAAATGGTGCGTGCGCGTATATTATTTTCTTTTTTTATTTTTCACTTGATGTTCGGTATTCATATTGGAACCTAACTAAATTTATTCGCGTCGAAAAGTCTCACATTGAAGGTTAAAGTGTTCCCTAATAAAATCGACTTTATATGAACTCCGAACTTATGGTTAAGAATAGTAAAATACTTATCACTAGATCTATCACAATCCTTATTGGTAATGATGCGGATATCATTCTCACTATTTAATATTTACTGCACTACCTCCCATGCTATCTGTTAATCTATTTTATCACAACCTAACACATCACTCACGAAAGGATTCCTTTGTATTATATTTTAAACTTTTACATGACAAAACTGAACCCTATCAAATTACTTGACCAAATGCTTCCAAATTCTTGAAAAGGAAAACTGTATTTTTAAGATACCGAAGTTGATTAGGGCCCCAGAACTTAACTTACCAACGTCTCATAGTTTAACATTATAATTATATGTTAAATGAGGCATAGCCATTGAAGGAACAGAGATAGAATATATTAGAAATATCGAAGAAGAAAGTAAGAGAGCAGAGTTTGGAAATATCGAATTTGTATTTGCATGCACTGTACATGTATATATATGTATATATATATATATACATACATACATCACTTAACCACTAACTACCTAACAATATATTAGTTGTTGACATCTGTACATTTAGTCCACTAACTAACTTCTAAGCTCCTAACTAACCTCTACACTATGCATACTTCTCAACACTCCCTCTCAAGCTGAGGGATGAAAGAGGTCTTTCATTCCCAGCTTGCTAATCAAATACTCATGTTGTGGTTTGCATAGACTCTTGGTAAGCAGATCAGCAGGCTGTTCCTTAGTCCCGATATGTTGAGTCTGAATTTGACCACCCTAAATTTTCTCCCTTACAAAATGACAATCAATGTCAAAGTGTTTTGTCCTTCATGAAATATGGGGTGTGCTGCAATCTGTATAGCAGCTTTGCTATCACAGAACAATTGTACGAGGGTGTTCATTGCAACTCATAGTTCTCCAAACAAACCAACTAGCCAAGTGACTTCAGCAACAGTAGCTGCCATGCTCCTGAATTCTGATTCAGCAGAGCTCCTAGAAACTGTGCTTTGCTTCTTGGACTTTCAAGAAATTAAAGCTTTAACAAACTTAACTATATAACCAGTAATAGACTTCTTTGTTTCCACACATGAACCCCAATCTGAATCACAATAGGGAACCAGTTCCTTGTTACCTTTTGCTGGCATAAACAATCCAATCCTGCAATTCCCTTGACATACTTGACCACTCGTATAGTTGCTTCCATATGTGACTACTTAGGAGCATGTATGTGTTGGCTCAGTACTTAAACAACAAAGGCAATGTTTGGCCTTGTCATAGTACGGTATATCAGTTTGCCTACCAATCTTTGATAGCTACCTGGGTCCTCAAGTTGTGCATCTGTAGAGGCTTTTCCATTTTTCATGAATTCATCAAATGCTACTGAGGTGAATTTATGATTGAACTCAAGAGGTGTAGCAACAGGCTTTCCACCAGCTAATCCCAGCTCAGACACTAACTCAANATATAGCTGCTTCCATATGTGACTGCTTAGGAGCATGTATGTGTTGGCTCAGTACTTAAACAACAAAGGCAATGTTTGGCCTTGTCATAGTCTGGTATATCAGTTTGCCTACCAATCTTTGATAGCTACCTGGGTCCTCAAGTTGTGCTTCTATAGAGGCTTCTCCATTGTTCATGAATTCATCAAATGCTACTGAGGTGAGTTTATGATTGAACTCAAGAGGTGTAGCAACAGGCTTTCCACCAGCTAATTCCAGCTCAGACACTAACTCAAGAGTATATTTCCTTTGATTCATAAGAATTCCTTCTTTAGATCTGGAGAACTCAATTTCCAGAAAGAATTTTAATTCTCCAAAGTCCTTCATTTTGAACTTAGCTTGCAAATATATCCTTATTTGACGTATAAGCTCCACATTGTTCCTAGTAACCAGTAGGTCATCAATATATACCAGGATTACTATCAGATCACCACCTACCATTTGTGTGAAATGGGAGTAATCATAATGAGACTACACAAATCCCATATCCTTCAGAGCAGAAGTCAACTTCAGGTTCCAATGTCTAGGAGCCTGCTTGAGTCTATACAAGGACTTATGCAATCTGCATACTTTCTGATAACTCTCCCCCTGGTTGGCAAAACCATTTGGGATCTGCATATAGACCTCTTCAAGGAGATCTTCTTGAAGAAATGCATTGTGCACATCCATTTAGAAAATAAACCAGCCAGATGTTGTAACCAAAGCTACCACAGATCTCACTGTCACCATTTTGGCCACAAGAGAGAAAGTCTCTTTATAATCCAGGCCTTCAAGCTGACTATACCTCTTAGCAATCAGTCGAGCCTTATATCTTTCCACCTCCCTAGTGGACTTGTATTTGACCTTGAAAACCCAGTTGCAACTAATAGGAGTCTTGCTAGGAGGCAGGTCAATAATGGACCATGCATGATACTCCTCAAGGGCAGCAATCTCAGCCTACATGTCTTCTATCCACTTAAGATCAGTACTAGCCTTAGCATAGGAGGGAGGCTCAGACACAACTGAGTATGCAGCAATACAAGCCTGATAGGCAAGAGACAGCTTGTCATAACAAACATACTGGGAAATGGAATAATTGCAGACTACTCCTTTGGAGGGTACAACATAGTCTTTTATCCATATAGGAGGAACAGAAGTCCTAGAGGATTTCCTAATAGGAGGTGGAACAGCAACAAGAGAAGGACTGGATTGTGGATAAAGATTAGAAACTAGCAGAGTAAGATCAATTGATTAATTAGAAACAGAAGAAGGGGACTAGATTGTAGGAGTTCTAGGAGGAGAATGCACTGAAGAGGAGCAGTCAGCTTCTAAAAGATCCCAAATGGGAAATAAAGGAGAAGAACCAGAGATAAAATGCTTAAAAGGAAAAAATCCTCCTTGAAGACAGTGTCCCTGCTCACAAAGAATAGTTTTGAGTGAAGACCATATAAAATGTATCCCTTTTGCATAGAAGAGTAGCCAAGATGAACATCAGGAATGGCCCTGAGGCTAAATTTATCTGCTTTGCTAGTACAAGTGGCATAGCACAGACTACCAAAGACCCTCAAGTGCTGGAGAGATGGAACCTTGTTATAGAGTTTCTCAAAGGGAGATGCTACCTTCAACAAGACAGTAGGCAATTTATTCAGAAGATAGACTGTTGTGGAGACATACTTACCCCAGAACTAGAGTGGAACAAATGCTTGAAACCTCAAGGCTCTTGCTATGTTAAGAATAGACCTGTATTTTCTTTCAACTGTACCATTCTACTGAGGTGTATATACACAGGAACTCTGGTGAATAATTCCATGCAACACCAAGAGACTATTGACCTGCTCATTGAAGAACTCAGTACCATTGTCAGACCTGAGACACTTAACTTTGTTATCAAATTGAGTCTAAACTAGTGTTAAAAACATTTTCAGCATAACAACAGATTCTGCTTTAGTGTTCATTAAAAAGATCCATGTGTACTTAGAGAAATCATCCACCAATGTCATAAAGTATCTCTTACCATCATGAGTTGGAACCCTGTATGGGCCCCAGACATTAGCATGCACAAGTTCAAAAGCAAGAGTAGAACAAGAAATGTTGTGAGGAAATGGCAATCTAGATTGCTTAGCAATAGGACACACTGTACAATGATGGTCTTGCATAGTAATGTGAGGTAAACTACTAATCTTTTGTAGAACTTTTAGAGGTGCATGTCCTAGTCTCTTGTGCCACAAAGATACAATATAATTCCCAGTAGACTTAGGATGGACTGCCTTATTGTTACTAGAGAACTAGAGATAGTATTTACAGAAGATGTTAGATAGGTACTTTTCTTTGCATTCTACAGCTGCACTAAGTCTTCAGGGATATCTGGCTTCAGGATTTAGAGTCCACACTCTTCCTTACTAATCCCCATTACCTTCCTACTCAAGATAACCCTAGAAATCAGGAAACAAATACAAGAAGACATCTCAACTCCTTTGTAAGCTTTGAGACTGAAAGCAAGTTGTATTTGAAGTCTGGAATGTATAATACATTCTATAATGATTTAGTTTTGAAGATTGTGGAAACTCCAGTATGACTGATAGTAATCTGCTCACCATTAGGAAGATGAACCTTGTTATGGTCTATACTAGTTAGATCCTTGATTTCACTTAGTAACATAGAATTATGTATCATATGATTGGAGGCCCCTATGTCTACTATCCAGTTACCATTGACTATATGAGACATGAAGGCTTTTATAGTACTTGTGTTGTTCATAGTTGCTACATTTGCCGCTAATTCTACTTGCTTTACTTTGTTCAACATATGCAGGATCTGATCATATTGTTCTTGAGTAAGCACTCGAGCTGGGGAGAACAATTGAGGAGTAGGTTGAGGAAGATTAGAAGATTGAAATCCTCTAGCAGTAAATGCATTGT